GACTTGTCCAGATCATCTTCAACGACAAGGAGGTCCGTCCCGGCTTCAGGAGCAACGGTATCATCGTCTCCCAGGTTGGCATCAAGATGTACGTGAGCATCCCCGCCATCGGCCTGCAGGTCATGTTCACCGGCCTCATCTTCTCGGTGGAGGTACCCTTCAGCAAGTTTGCCAACAACACGGAGGGCCAGTGTGGTAAGCAAGCCCTTCCCCTGCCCTGACCCCTGCCCTGACCCCTGACCCCTGCCCTGGCCCCTGCCCTGACCCCTGACCTGACCCCTGCCCTGACCCCTGAGCCCACCCTCAGGCATCTGCAGCAATGACCAGAAGGATGACTGTAGCCTGCCGGGAGGGGACGTGACCACCTCCTGCTCCAAGGCGTCCAGCCACTGGAAGGTGACCAACCCCGACCAGCCACACTGCTACGGGCCGTCCCCAACCCCCCTGCCGACCACCTCGAGCAAGCTCCAAACCAGCCCCACCCCGTGCCCACCAGCGCCCATCTGTCAGCTGATCCTGAGCAAGTAAGACCCCAGGTGGGAGAGGCCAAGGGGTGGGGGGGCAGGGGCTGCTGGAGAAGGATCTGGGGGCAGAAGGTCAGGGCTTGGGGCAGGTTGCTCTGCAGCAGTGAAGGGCTCATCCATGTGGCTCCCAGTGGAGCGGGCAGTGATGGGCACCTCGGGCTCAGCGGGGCTCTCCAGCGGGTCAGCCTCTGAGGCTCTGTCTGCTCCTAAGACATTGCTCTGGGCATGAGAAATTGCGGCCAAGGGGTTTGCAGAGCTAAGGACACCAGTGGAGAATTTGCAGAGACACACTGTGCCACAGCCAAACGCCTGGCCTGGCACTGGAGAATTGGTGTCCTTGTCTCGGCCAGGTGGGGGGGTCCACAGTCCCCAAAGGGAGGCATCATGTTGGTTAGGGCTCTGTGTCTGGGAGCCCTTGCTGCCGAGCCAGCGGGTAGCAGATGTGAGGCAGGCAAGGGCTGCACCCACACCTCCTCTGTGTCCCCAGGGTCTTTGAGCTGTGCCACAAGGTCATCCCCCCGTGGCCGTACTACGAAGGCTGTGTCTTCGACCACTGCCACATGAGAGACCCAAAGGTGGCATGCTCCAGCCTGGAGATTTATGCCTCTCTCTGTGCGTCGGAACACGTGTGCATTGACTGGAGGGGTCGCACCAACAACACCTGCCGTGAGTGTCCCCCCTCGCATCTCTCCCCTCAGGACGCCCCGCCCAGGTGGGGACAGAGGCGCTGGGTGACCATCAGTGGGCAAGCATGAGTGGGCAGGGCGGGCTTCCTGGAGGAGGTGGAGGAGACCACTGACCCCCAGGGAGAGAAAGAAGCAGGCAGCCTCTTGGGGCGCCCTGGCCTAGGGTGCAGGGCTGGCGATCTTGGGCTCTGGCAGGATGGGACCATTCAGGCAGGTGGGACAGGTGAGGCCAAAACAGCAGGCAGGCAGAGCTGCAAGGACGCAGAATCTGGGTTGTGGGTCTAGACTGACAGGTGGCTGTGGATGGTCAGTGTGTGGGCAGGAGTGAGGCTCTGAGGCCACACCTCGATTTGACCCCAGACTGCGCCCCCAGACTCACGGCGGCCTTCTCTCTCCTCGCAGCTTTCACCTGCCCTGCCCACCAGGTGTACCAGCCCTGCGGCCCGGTCAACCCTACCTACTGCTATGGAAACAACACTGCCGTCCCCCTGTGCGTACCCCCCACCCCTGGCCCC